TCTAGTGGCTGGTTCCTTTACTTCTCTGATCTTTCAGCATTTACCCCGATATCTGACTCTGGGTTTTTATTAAAACCAATCAGAATTTGCACTACAGTAGTAGATTCTGTTTGACACTGAGAAACAGTGCTCAGAAGTACCACTCATTTTTGAAAAGCATGTTGTAAGGTAATTTCTAAATTCACAGTCTTTATTCGTGAAAAATTTAAAGCCAAAAATGCAGTCTCTGCCAGAAGTCAGAGAATTTTCAGTCTTAGAGATGGAAAGTCAAGAAAGGCAGAAGTTGAGGTTGAACTTAGGATCTGGTCAGCTTAGCAAAGGCACATGAGAAGGGACAGTGCTGGAACCATTGGAAAAACAGGGATTCTGATATGGGAACCATGAAGTTTATGTTGGGAAAGAATGTTTCTCCAAAGCAGTGTTAGGATGCCTTTGAGATATGTTTGGGGGCCGGGTAGTGGTAGCACACGCCCTTAATCCCAGCACTTGAGAAGCAGAGGCAAGTGGATCTCTGTGAGTTCAAGGCCAGCCTGGTCTAGAGTGAGTTCCAGGACAGGCTACAAAAGCCACACAGTGAGTGACTGAGAGAGAGAGAGAGAAAGAAAGAGAGAGAGAGAGAGAGAGAGAGAGAGAGAGAGAGAGAGAGAGAGAGAGAGAGAGATCTGAAGAGCAAAGTAGGGGTTAGAGGTCTTAGAAATTTTTAGGAGGTAGATCTGACTTCACAGCCATGTATGTGTATGGAATTGTGAGCACACTGAGATGGAGAAACAATCCCTAAAATGAGCAAAAGGCATAGTGCTGCTGCTTGTTCATCTGGAGGTTTATCTACATAAGGTCTCCTACAAGGGTACCTAGAGAAAGCTGCTGGTGTGGGAAGAGAACAAAGTCACCCACTCACTGGACTTGGACTCTAAGCTGAGTCCTAGATGTAGATATGAACTGTTTTGTAGTAGGGCATTTCTTCACTAAGCCTGGCCACAGCTTTCAATAAGACCATTAGGTCAGCAGACTGCCACCCTTCCCTCTGAGCCTCCTTTAGAGCAGTGCACTCAGCCCACAGCTCTGCGGCCACCCTTGCCTTCTTGAACCATTCTCATTGGGGTAGGACATTGTCTATGCTCCCCTTGGAGTTCCTGTCCACTTCTAGGGATATTCACCACAGCCTCCCAGTCCAGCCAGCAGCACTTGTATGAATCTCTGACCCTCCTCCATACTCAGGACTTCTTTAGCTACTTACTACTAGCTCTGTTCCCACTGTGAGACGTGACAGAGACCTATATCTCTACTGGAGCCCTAAGCTGGGTCACCCCATCCTGTCCTGTGTTAGAAGGCCATTGTGAGAGTCCTGATCCCTCGTTCCCTATATACTTATGAAATCCTTCCCATCTTCTGGGCCTGTGTGTGTGTGTGTGTGTGTGTGTGTGTGTGTATGCACACGCACGTGTATAGCATAGACCTCCAAATCTCCCTGCCTTAGTGCTGGGATTAAGGCATGTGCCACCAAGCTGGATTGAAACAGATTAAAAAAAAAAAAAAAGATTTACAGCCGGGTGGTGGTGGTGGTGGTGGTGGTGGTGGTGGTGGTGGTGGTGCACACCTTTAATCCCTCCCAGCACTTGGGAGGCAGAGCCAGGCGGATTTCTGTCAGTTCAAGGCCAGCCTGGTCTACAGAGTGAGATCCAGGACAGGCACCAAAACTACACAGAGAAACTCTGTCTTGAAAAAAACAAAAACAAAAACAAAAAATTTTACTTATTATTATTTTATATGTATGGGTATTTTGCCTGCATGTATCTGTGTACCACATGCATGTAGTTCCATCAGAACCAGAAGAGGGGAGTTGTTGGATCCCTTGGAACTGGAGTTACAGACTATTGTGATTGGTGCTGGAAACCAAACCTTGGTCCTCTGCAAGAGCAGCATGTGCTTTTAACTGTGGCCAAAAACTCTGGGCAGATTCTTAAAAGGACTTATGCTTGTGACTTGAGGGGGTTCAGCTGTGCCTCCTGCACTCTTGTCACTTGCTCTTGTATGTACAATGCGGTTATAAAAGATGGGCTATAAGATGTTACCTTGTAATAAAAGTTAGATAAGGAGCTGTGGTGGTACTCACAGCATGGACTACACAGCAAGATCCTGTCTTAAATAACAAATAACTGGGGTTGGTGGTGATGTGGAGTGTGCACTCAAGAAGGAGGACAATGAAGAATAGAAGGCAGATAGTTATAGTGGGTAAGGTAAAATATTTACTCAGTACCTATTGGGTGTGCTATGGCTAAGGAGATTAGATATGAGAAACAATGCCATTATAAGACTGATTATCTATTAAATAAGAATCTAGTGTGGAGTAACCTAAGGCTGTTGGACTCTGTTCCATTCTTGAATGTTTAGTGATAGTCTTTACTTTTGGGCTCACTGTCCTGCTGTTGTACATAGAACACTCCTAAGATACCCTAGCTTTTAGGGACACATGGTTGCTCCCAGTGTGTCTCCCCTGGTGTCATTGATAAACTTGGTTTAGTTAGACCGTGAGGCACACACACTAGAAAGGAACCAGGGAACCTCTGCATCTGACCTCATCATCCCATTTTCCCTTTGTGAGTTTCTTCAGTTGCCTAAACTTTTCACAATGCTACAATGAATCGAGAGCTTGTTTTTCTATGAAATGAATCCTACAGGGACTCAGAGCAACTCCAGCTAGCATGTTTCAGCGCCCCCTAGTGTACCAGATGGTACTGTGGCAGAGCCTTGTTATCCCCAAGAAGGCACTGCCCCACATAAATGGATCTGTGCTTTGAGATGACACTGTTAACCTGTAATTATTTTACCTGTCAACTAGTTAGTTACCCAAACTTTCTTACACCACACTTAAAATGACTGTCTTTCCATTCATTTTCATACAATATCACTAGTAACTGCAAACATCTGAAAGGAAATGGCTTGTCCAATCTGAACTAGAATTATGTCATTATCCTAAAGAACATCCCACTAGCTTACTCATTCTGGCTCCAGTGAACAATCTGGCAATGGTGAAATGGTTCAGCAGGTAAAGATGGTTGCTGACAAGCCTGATGACTGAGTGTGAACCCTAAAACTCACAAGGTAGGAGAAAACTAACTCTTGCAAGCTCTCTTCGTACCTATATGCATGCATGCGCGCACGCGCACACACACACACACACACACACACACACACACACAAATAAATTAAAATAGAGTAAAATAAAAAAACTCTTCAGATTTAATTCCTCTTGGTCACTTCCTTCTAAAGTATTCCCTCAGAATTTCACATGGCAATGACATTTTCTGTTATTATATTATTTTTAGTTGTAAAGATTTCCTCCCCCTTTAAAACTCAGAAACTTAGCAAAAGAAAACTGACAAGTTTGTTCATTTCCTGGTCATGTGTGACATACACTGAGACTGTGAAGCACTTGTAGCTCTGCTTCCCTGTGTCTCTTACAAGGGCTTTTCTTGTTGGCTGAGAGCGATGCTCATCGGGAAAAGGGGCCTATGAATCTGTAGTTAGGGAGGAGCCAGAGGGACTTCTGAACTCTGCTACATTGTGATTTTAGGAAATAAAAGTCCATTTGGTGGACAACATGTGACCATCTGACACATCATACCACTGAGCCAAAGCTATTTTGTTAGTTACCATGGCAAGTCAAGACGAAGGCAGAACTCAGCTGCTGATGAACTGCAGGTGGGACTGTGGCAAGCAGGAAAGGTACTGCTCTTTCAGGGTTAGGGTAGGTGGGACAGGGTGCTTCCTCGCCACCCCCACAGTCTTACTTCTCTGCTACTCACACCACCCACCATTGGCCCTTGACTTCCACACACCTTGCCTCTGAATAATTCACACTTCTATGCTGCTGTTGGGGGATGAATGTGGGCTTCCAGTATTGATTGGTGACACCCAAGAGCCCCATCTTGGAATGCTACCACCTGTGTAAGTAGCAGGGTTTGGGCAACTGCCTACATGTTTACTTAAGTGAAGATTATTGGAAAAAAAACAACAGATGGACTGGGGTTAGTGATAAGTGCTGATGAAAGGGTCCGACAAGGGTAAACATCTCTACTCAACCAATGTGCCCTGGAACTAAATGGCTCCCTAAAGCTCAGTTGTAACTTAATAAAAATAGTGTGCAATGCTAAATATCATGCTATCAAAATTTATGTGTAGAATGTAATATAAAGCAATGGAAGAAATTGTAAAAATTTAAGATTATATCTGAATTATCAGACCCTGTGATCTAGAGCTCCCCTGAGGGAAGAATGTAGTGGGGTGAGATGCATCTGCTGGATTCTTCAGCACTGTTTTCAACATTATTTCCCTGAGCAACACTACAGCCATGAGTGTGGAGCTCAGTCTGTTGTGCCCCTTTGCACCTGACCCATGGGTTAGGGTTAGGCTCAAGGTTCATCTTGAGGTATCATAAACACAGGAGGTCATTTATATTTCACATTTATCTGACATCTTAGCATTAAGTAATCATGTTTTCATTATATGACAGAAAAACATTTCTATCATAAATATGGATTTTATAACATTTTGTAAAGTTATGGGAATTGGAGGTGTAGAGCTGGCTCAGGAATTAAGAGTGCTTGCTAGTTGGGTGTAGTTGTGCATGCTTTTAATCCCAGCACTAGGGGGGGAAAGGTAGGCAGATCTCTGTGAGTTCCAGGCCAGCTTGGTTTATATAGTGAGTCCCAGGACAGTCAGGGTTATGGGAGAGACCCTGTCTTAAAAAAACAAAACCAAAACCAAAAAACCAACACGCTGCCCCAATCCAAACTATACCAAATAACAACAAAAAAAGAATGTTTGCTGCTCAATCTTGAGGACTAGAGTTCAGATGCCAGTACCCATGTTAGGTGACTCACTATTGTATATAACTCCAGCTCCAAGGGATCCAATGCCCTCTTCTGGACTTGGCAGAGCCCTGCTCCCTCACATGTACAGATACTCACTCAGACACATACACATAAAATAAAATAATGTAAATATTTTTAAAGAGTAAGAGCAAGTGGTGATTATGATCTAACACATTACATGAAATTCACAAAGAATTTATAAAATTATTTTTACAAACAAATTCTGGGAATGGAAGCAACTTAACACAGGTATATTATTACAAGATTTCTGAACACCCATCACATACTTTTAGGATCAAACACACTCCTGGGAGAAAGCCATGCCTGGGTCATATAGCCTTCTTGTATAGCAGAGGAAGGCTATTTCTGCTCAGCAGTCCAAGCATCATTTCCCGAGGGCTGGGGAGGTGCAACACTGGCAACAGCATTCACAGAGGAATAATCCAGTGTGCAGTCTGCCTGCATCTCAGCCCATCTGCAGAGTGGGTACTTACTTCTTTCTGCTGTTAATGTCTTCTACAGAACCAGACAAGTTCTCTGACAAATTACAGGCAAATAGAAAATAAAGGATTAGCCCCTTTCCCAGCCCTTAGGGTGTTGAATTATGAGAGACACAGGGACTAAGGCTGAGGCACATGACACTTACCTATGAGTGCCAAATGTCTCCCACAGGAAGGGTCCATTGTCCACAAAGCAATGGGTTCTATGCCCTTAGATCTTACCTGCAAGGTCTCTGCAGAGATCTGTCCATGGTACATAGCACCACACACTGGCTGGCACAAGCCCTGCATAATAGAACTATGCCACTGGAAACCCACAACACACGCAGGAAATGGAATCACCCTGAACTGTTGGCTTCCGATGGGGGATGTTCTGTGCACATATATTATGTTGTGGCACAAGCCTGGCACACCTGAATTCCAGTGAGCTGCAGCTGGGGATCCCTGACAGTAAGCCCCAGGTGGCTGCTCATGTTGCGTCCACAGCCAATTTAGGAGAATTCTACAGTGTCAGGAAGAATATAGCTGCCAAAAAAATCCCACAAGGCTATCCAGATGCTACTTTACCAGAAAGCTACTTTATTTAGTTACACCATCTCTCTAGAATGAACTGTACAGTGATATTTACCGAGGAACACATACATGCCAGGGGCTGGCTGCAGAGCGTAGATTTGCAGGTGTGGAGGGCAGGAATGGGCTCATCTTTTCACTGTCCATCCCCCCAGGGGATGCTGACCCTGTAGGAAGCATTAAGAGACATAAGGAGCTGTGAGCTTTGAAATGACTTCTTAATTCTATACTGCTGAAGAAAGTGCATGCAAACATCAAATAAGAAAAATAAGCTGGAAAAAAAAAACAGAAGAGTTTACTGGCTTAAATATATGTTTTTAAAATTTCATGTCAGATTCTCTCAGAGTACTGATGACTAATGTAAAAACTTGTCATGGAGACAGGAACCAGCACTAATGGGCTTCTGAACTACTGCCAAGAAACTGAGGAGTGTGAGGTTTTGTGTTTGCCCACACCACATGTATCTGCACAAACATCTCATGTATATACTCTTCTGAGAGCAGCCTTGGTGCCAAAAAGCTGGTTGAGCACTTGCCTGCACACTGCCTCTGCAGCAGGCCCGAGATGCTGATGGGCTGTCGGGGTAGTCCAGTCCATGAACTACTAAGGCTGGGGGAAGGCCCTTGTGCTGCTCTGCTGGATAGCTGTGGTGCTGGAGCTGGTGATAGTTCCTTGTAGGGCATCTGCAATGGTGGGACTCTAACAATAAATTAAACAAAAACATTCACAAATGCTCTTCATATTTCTAGTAACATGTTCATCTAAGCACTGACTACTATGTGGCCTTAAAGGTCATCTGTTGATAAAAACCATGTTCTGAATACCTAGGATGAATAAGGCCTGCTCTAGGCTGAGAAAGTGGTGAACAGGACCATTCAGAGGCTGCCCTTGTTCTGTCTGCTGTCCTAGGGACTTGCTGTATAGATGCTGACCAAAGTCAAGAGGCCATCTGCATTTCTCCTAGGGTCTGTGACAATGAGTAGCTGAGTAGGAACAAAGGGAGCTAGGGTCTTTAAAACTTCATGATCTGCCCTGTCACCACAGCCAGCTTCAGCCCGTATCTACCTGTTCCTAGAAGCCACCTCACTCCACCTTTCCCAATGCCTTCCAACAACTCTAGGCAGTTCTAGCACCTTCTTACCATGTGGTGCCATCTTGCCTCTTCAGGCCAGCCTGTAGTTCCTCCTCTCATCTTTTAGTCACCAAGGGCTCCAGGTTCCATTCTCAGTATTCTGAAGGTTATGGAAGCTTCCTTGGCAATCTTGTCCAGACAATGTTTTTGACTATGTCCTCCAGAAAGATGAGTTTTTACTCATGTGTGCTGCCCAAGCTCACCTTACAGGCTGTATTCAGTATGGTGTTATCATCAGCCGACTGAATTCCCCTTCTTTGCTAAAAGCTACTTTTTCTAGATTTTACGGGTTTTGGACATCCTGGAACCTTGTAGTTCTTGGGGACACTGCTCATCCTGGGGCAGCTAACTTCTGTAACTCATGAACAGCTTGCCTGTGGGCACACTTCTCACAAGCACACCTACTTGCCCACACCCCTATCTTCCTTTTTCAAATCCACAAACACCAGCCTTTCTCTTGCCTATACATTCTGGATGAGCAGGGACTGCCAGTGAGCCCAGGATCTACAGAGTTATTCAGAATAAACAATCAACACTTCTTGCCTTCCGCAGAAAGCACAGAACAAGTTTATGTTCACTTTTCCCTACCCTTTCTGCAACAATCTCTAAACAGTCATCTCTGTTGCCTTCTTACTACAGATGATTCAAACAGAGCCAGGGAACTCAGCAACATACTTACCCTGTGTATAACCATGTAGTTTAAAGGAGCCAAAAATGGATGCTGGGGTTGCAATAACAACACAATATACCACCAACCAGGGGAATCAAAAGCCAGTAGAGAGTGAGGTGAGGTTGGTGCTTCAGGGTGAACCAGCATCAAGGAAGGGGGATAAAGTCTCCAGGGTGGGCAAAAACCTTTTGTCAGGTTCTTCTACCAACAGACAAATGCACATAACCTCAGGACCCAAGAAGCAGACATGGCTACATAGGCCATGTGCTTACTGCAACTGGGTTAGCCGAAGGTAGGCAGTGAAATACAGACTTTATTATAGCATTGTAGGATGTTCAAGGGAAGCAGCTGAAAGTTCAGGGCTTGCCTTCTGGAGACTAGCCTTTGAGTGCTCAGAATGTGTGTAAGAGACATTGGGAGCCGCCCACCTGACCATGGAGAGAGGTGTGGCTGAGTGAAAGATGTGTCTTTAGAGTCACACTATAGCTACAGGCTAAGCCAGCCTGTCTCTGCTTCTGTGAAGTATTTTATGGGGCACAGTCAGCCTGCAAGCTTCTACTCCTCTAGCCACACTCCTCATACAAAGGCAGAGCTGAGGAGCTGCATGAAAAGCAAGAATATTTACCTCTTGGCTTTCACAGGAAACATTTGTGACCCTAGCTTACTCCTTTAAGCAGTTACTGTGCACCCATTAAGTAGTTCTTTTTGAGGTCTCTAAGTCATACCTTGGATTAAAAAAAACTATAGCTATAAAATTAAACATATAATACAACATTCTCCAAACATGGACACATAGGATTAAGAGGCAACCTGTCAACTTCAACACTGGCTGGAGGTTTGGTTGGCTTATGTTTTACCATAACAAGGACCTACCTGATAGCCTTTGTCATGCTTGCATGGCTGGGTGTCAAGCTGAGATGCTGGGATCCCCGACAGGAGACACTGCCTGTGGAGGGAATAAAACATACTGTGTGGTATTAGTGTGTCACAGTACCAGATCATACCTGCTGCTGCTTCTTTGCGGGTATGGTCATGTCTCCATTATGAGACCAGTATCAGGTGGCATGTGTACCCACAGATCATCTCTGACTCTAGGCAGTTCTCTGAGTGTGACTATTGACCCACCATGCACCCCAAATCCTTCCCATTGCCACACAAGAAACATGTGTCTTATCTTCTATTTTTCACCTATGCCACTTTTCAACTTGGAGATAATGTGAACAATTCAAATAAATTGGCAGCTTGATGTCAGTGGTTGGGACCAGAATCAACCAGGCCAGTTGAATTTCAGCCTCAAAAAGTTGCCTCTGAGCCATGGAGACTTCTCTGATGGCCAGTAGTTAGTCAGCAAGGGCCAGACATACATGCCTGGTACACAAGTGCTCAGTGAATACCAGTAGCCACATATGGAGGCCTGGAAAGCATCTCCAGGAGAATGCCCCATTTACACTTAAAAAGAATGTTCATTCTGCTATTGTCAGGTGATGTCTGTATATGCTTTTTTTACCCCCCGAGACAGGGTTTCTCTGTGTAGCTTTGTGCCTTTCCTGGAACTCACTTGGTAGTCCAGGCTGGCCTCAAACTCACAGAGGCCTGGCTCTGCCTCCTGAGTGCTGGGATTAAAGGCGTGTGCCACCACCGCCTGGCTGTATATGCTTGTTTTTTTTTTTATAAGTTAATTTGGCTAAATTTCTTTGGTCTTCTAACTTCTTAGCAATTACATATTCAGTGGTTTATCAATTATAAGGATTTGGATATTGAAACACCCAAACTATAATCTTTGGATTTCTTTTTAACTCATCATATATTTGGGTTTGTTGTCTATACACAATTAATTGTTTTAGCTTCTTGTATAGTAAACATTTGGCATCATAAAATGTCTCTTTGTTACTAGTAATATTGTTATCTTAAAATTTACTTTGTCTATTATTAATAAAAGTCACTCTAGTTCCTTTCTGGTTGCTGTTTGCATGATATCTGCTCTGTAGGTTTTCCTTTGCCTATTTGTGCCTTTAAATTGAGTGTATTTCTTTTTCTTTCTTTTCTTTTCTTTTTCTTTCTTTTTTTTTTTTTTTTTTTGGTTTTTCGAGACAGGGTTTTTCTGTGCAGCTTTGCGCCTTTCCTGGATCTTGCTCTGTAGACCAGGCTGGCCTCAAACTGAGTATATTTCTTATAGACAGAATGTATGTAGAATTTTTATGCCAGTCTGACAATCTCTGCTTTTTTGCTGGAGCATTTAGTCCATTCCACTTAAGGTAACTTTTGATGTGGTTGGATTTGGGTCGACCCTCACATATTGATAATGGGAGACTTCAATACCCCACTTTCACTAATGGACAAAGCATCCATACAAAAACTGAACAGAAGCCGGGCGTTGGTGGCGCACGCCTTTAATCCCAGCACTCGGGAGGCAGAGCCAGGCGGATCTCTGTGAGTTCGAGGCCAGCCTGGGCTACCAAGTGAGCTCCAGGAAAGGCGCAAAGCTACACAGAGAAACCCTGTCTCGAAAAACCAAAAAAAAAAAAAACTGAACAGAGACATACTGGAACTAACAGATGTTATGACTCAAATGGACTTAGTAGATATCTACAGACTATTCCACCCTAACGTAAAAGAATATACTTTCTTCTCAGCACCTCATGGAACTTTGTTTAAAATTGACCACATACTAGGTCACAAAGTAAATCTCAACAGATACAAATACATTGGAATAACCTCCTGTGTTTTATCAGACCACCATGGCTTAAAGTTAGATTTTAGCAACAACAAAAATTACAGAAAGCCTACCAACCCATGGAAATTGAATAATGCTCAACTGAATCACCAATGGGTCAAGGAAGAAATAAAGAAATTAAAGACTTCCTAGAATTCAGTGAAACTGAATGTACAACATACCCAAACTTATGGGACACTATGAAAGCAGTGCTATGAGGAAACTTCATAGTACTAAATGCCTACATAAAGAAGTTGAAGAAATGTCACACTAGTGACTTAACAGCACACCTGAAACCTCTAGAACAAAAGGAAGCAAGCCTATCCAAGAGGAGTAGATGGCAGGAGATAATCAAGCTGAAGGCTGAAATCAATAAAATAGAAACAAAGAGAACAATACAAAGAATCAATGAAACAAAGAGTTGGTTCTTTGAGAACACCAACAAGACAGACAAACCCTTATCCAAACTAACTAAAAAGCAGAGAGAAAATATCTAAGTCAACAAAATCAGAAAGGAAAAGCGGGGCACAACATCAGACACTGAGGAAATCCACAGAATCTTTAGGTCATACTTTAAAAACCTGTACTCCACAAAACTGGAAAATCTAAAAGAAATGGATAATTTTTTTGATAGATACCACTTACCAAAGTTAAATCAAGAACAGATTAAACAATTTAAGTAGAACTATTACCCCTAGGGAAACAGAAGGAGTTAATAAAAGTCTCCCAACCAAAAAAAGCCCAGTCCAGATGGTTTTAGTACAGAATCCTACCAGACTTTCAAAGAGCTAATGCCAAAACTCCTCAGATTATTTCACAGAAGGAACAATGTTAAATTCATTTCATGAGGCCATAGTCATCCTGATACCCAAACCACACAAAGATTCAACAAAGAAAAAGAATTACAGACCAATTTCTCTCATGAACATAGATGCAAAAATACTCAATAAAATACTTGCAAACCAAATCTAAGAACATATCAAGATCATCCACCATGATCTAGTAGGCTTCATCCCAGAGATGCAGGGATGATTCAACATATGAAAATCAGTCAATATAGTATTTGAAGTTGTAGCTGGAGCAAAAGACAAGGAGATTGAAGGAGATTGAGAGGATACAAACTGGAATGGAAGAAATCAAAGCATCATTATTTGCAGAAGATATGACAGACCCCGAAAATTCTACCAGGGAATTCTTACAACTGATAAACACCTTTAGTGAAGTGGCTGGACACAAGGTTAACTAGAAAAATAAAATAAAATAAAAATCAGTAGACCTCCTATCCACAAATGGCAAACGGGTTGAAGAAATCAGGGAAACAACACCCTTCATAACATCCATATATAATATAAAATATCTTGGGGTAACTCTAAGCAAGTGAAAGACTTGTATGACAAAAACTTCAAGTCTTTGAAGAAAGAAATTGAAGAAGATATCAGAAGATGGAAAGATTTCCCATGCTCAAGAATTGGTAGGATTAACATAGTTAAAAATGACCATCCTACCAAAAGCAATCTACAGTTTTCAATGCAATCCCCATAAACATTCCAACACAATTCTTTACAGACCTTGAAAGGACAATACTCAACTTCATATGGAAAAACAAAAATCCCAGGATAGCTAAAACAATCCTGTACAATAAAAGAACTTCCAGAGGTATCACCAGCCCTGATTTCAAGCTCTACTACAGAGCTATAGTAATAAAAACCTCATAGTATTGGCATAAAAACAGATAGGTTGATCAATGGAATCCAACCAAAGACCCAGACAAATTCACACACCTATGGACACATGATTTTTGATAAAGAAGCTAGAAAGAAATATACAATAGAAAAAAGAAAGCATCTTCAACAAATGGTGCTGGTCTAACTGGGTATCATCCAGCAACTGATGGGAGCAGATGCAGTGACCCACAGCCAAACAAAGGACTGTAGGCGCCAAAGGGTTGGAGGACACCATGAGAACACAGACCACACAATCAACTAAGCAGGGGACACAGAGATTGAAGCAACAATCCTGGAACCTGTATGGGTCTGAGCTAGGTCCTTTGCATATATGTTATGGCTGTGTAGCTGGGTGTTCTTGTGGGATTCCTAACAGTGGGAGTGGGGGTGTCTCTGACTCTTTTGCATGTTCTTAGAACCCTTTCCTCCTACTGGGTTGCCTCATCCAACCTTAAGGGTTTGTGTCTAGACTTACTGTTACTTGTTATGCAATGTTCAGTTGATATCCCTGGGAGGCCTGATCTTTTTTTTTCTTTTTCAGAAGGGAAACAGGGGAGTAGATCAGGGAGAAAGGGGAGGTGGTGCGGGTGAGGGGGGACTGGGAGGAGTGGAGGGAGGGGAAACTGTGGTTGGGATGTAATATATGAGAGAAGAATTAAAAAAAAAAAAAAAAAAAGAAGACTCCTTCCTGGTATGGCTGCCTTGAATTAAGGACTGTCAGTCAAGCAAGCAGTTGGACTACCCTTATGTGAGCACTGACTGTCCTAAATACTCCATGGATGTTTTGTGGTAGCTACATGACAACTAGAGCTGCTTGCTGCTGAAACACAGATCTAGTTCTTGAAAGCATGCACACCATTGCCACAATGATTCCAAATAGCTGTGCTAGACTCAAATTTCAGTGAAGTTTTCACCCAAGCCAGAGGGAAGCATGTCCCCTGTTGATCTAACAGAGGGATTGTTAGATAACTGTATAAATGAACAATGCCATAACTGGTGAATGCAGTGGGCCATTTACGTGATAGTGGCTGTTATTGTCGCAAACCTCTTTGTGGCTGTATAAGTGCGCGTGCGCGCGCACACACACACACTCACACACATGCACACACACACACACCTAGAGCCAAGGGGTTAATGTTAGGTATTTTTCTCTATTACTTTGAGATATGAATTTGCCAAATGCCAAATCTGAAACTGGCCAATTCAGCTGGACTGGCTGGCTAGTGAACTCCAGGGATCCATCTTTCTGCTCTCTCAGCACTAATATGTGCACTGTTGCACCTGGTTTTTACATGGGTCCTTATGCTTTCAGAGCAAGTACTGTATTCACTGAGCTTTCTCTCTACCCATGACCAGGATAGAGCAGGGGGAATGGCCATGGGCTCTACACTTCCTAGAACTGTAAGGAAAGACTATAGGTTTTGGAATTTGATCTGTTGGGTAACAAGAGCTCCCACAGCCAGAGCAGGAGGGCTGTGGATATTAGGAAGCCCACATGAGAAGAATCAGGGTCTGGAGGGATCATTGGATAAGAGCCACCAGGGCAATGAACCAGCAACCCAAGTCAATTACCAGCAAATAAAGAGGCAAAACAACTTTTGATTAAACTACAAGGAGATAATAAAACAAGATCAGTTTTTTCCATGGTACATGATCCCAAGAGCTTCTCCTAAAATGGTTCACAATATTTCTATTGTGGTGAACCCAAGATCTCCCAGCCAGCTAGTGGAGGGCAACCCTTAAGTAGGTAAGAACTGACAACGTTGGTGAAATATGACTTTCAGGGAAAATATCCTGGTTTGTGCATGGATTTGAAGTAAGATCACAGGAAATTTTACTTACCCATGCGTCCATCCTGAGGTGGACTAATCAGAGAGATTCTTGAAGGGCCTGCTGCCATTTCAGGCTACATATGTAAAAGAAAACAGCCAGTGAAATTTCCAAACTGCCACTTTTGAGGGTCCAATTTTGTTCATCAGGACCCTTGTCCTGAAGCTCGAGCTCTGCACTCCTGTCACCTCTGACAAAACCCCCTGCTCACTGGATGACACATAGGCTGAGACAGAGCAGGGCAGGGCAGAGGATTGCCTCTGTTCTCCCTGGCTCTCAAACAGTAAATGATGCAGGACCCCCACTAAATTCCTTTAGGAATATCAGGAGAGTAAAGGACAAGTAAGATCTCAAGTTATCTGGTTGGAGTTGCGTTGCTGAACCCTGCTTAGGCCCCCTTTTCCCACAGACACTAGGAGCACAGGTAATGTTACTATCCTTGCTTGACTCAGAGAAGACTTCTGCCTTGCAAAGTTTAAAATGTTTACTAACTGCCCCCTTTCCAGATGTCTGCCTATGTGCGGTCTGACACTTCACTTTGGAGTTTCACTCACTGAATTCTGTTTTTTTTCCAGCTGCAATGTATCAACTGTGCTTGCTATCTTCAGTATCTCTAGCTCACCCTAACTGCTTGGGTGCTAAGGAAACCTGAAGCTGAATGATCTGACCCCCTCCCCACAAAATAAGGGTCCCTCTCCACCATTAATATGGTGGTCTGGAGAACGATGAGTACACAAGTTCTCAGGTAGAAAGGTGGAAGCAGGTGTCTAGCCTCCAAAGGGCTGAGATATGTAGCAGGGAATCTGTGAATGTCTGGGAGGTCTAAGGTAGGGAGCAAGGGAGATGGAGGTGCCCAGGTTATGGTGGGCATACACTGGAGGAAGTGAGCATGTACAGGAGGTCAGCTGAGCAGAGAGGGGCAGTCTGTCTTTGTGCCAACTGCCAAAGACCTGAAGTATCTCCTCCTCAAGGAATAACTTCTCACGAATAACTTCTCATTCCCTGCTAAAGTCTTACCTATCTACTCTGAAATCTCGATTCCTTTATAAGCAGGTTCAAGAGATTCTCTTAGACATGGACATGATTTCTGATTAACAAGTCTACACACTGGTGTCTACCTTGGAGGGTTATTAGGAGAATGGTCCTCATTTACAAAGCATTTAAAACAGTGCTAGCAGGCAGGCAGCTCTATTAAAGGCCCTTGAAACAACACATAACAATAAATTCACACCAAAGAAATAGTGTCATTAGAGTGTATACAGTCTCTCTCTGCTTCATCCTACTGGTTACAGCACGCTTTGTGAAACATCTCTGAGGGCCTCGTGTTTGAACTATACGGCATGCACAGAATCCAGTTCTGCCTGAACTGGGAAGGTGACCCTCTTGGTGCATTACTAGGTTTGGTTTCATTTCCTCCGTTTTTGTTTCTCTCCAATTAACAGTTATAGTTTTGTTTTTTAGGTCTCACATTTCTGGCCCATTTATTTTTATGGGCTGATAGGGTTCAGTTTATAATAAGTATTTCATTCTTTTAGATTATGGCCAAGGGCAGGTGAAACACAGGACTATGAGCCCTGCCACTTTTACTAACAATGCATGGAACCCTGTTGCCCTTACCATAGACCTAGCCATAAGGACAGAAAGGAATGTTCTTGTTTCTGATCACAACCCACCCATTAACTCTGATGTCAACACAGTCAAGAGTTCTGCTAGAGACCACCATGTGCCTTGAGCAAATGTGGCAGCCTAGGCATACTTACCTTTCTTGCTGGAGGAGTCAGGTCAATTTCCATTGATTCTATTCTGTTAAACAGTGAAACATGCTAATGAGACTGAAGATTTACTATAATTTTAAAACATCAATTTAAATATCCTTGCATGTAATAGGTAAAGAGTGAATTTCCCAGCCCTTTCATGGGGTTGTCAGGGTGTGGTCCAATATAAGTCTGCTACTTCCTGTGTATCCTACTAGCTGTTCATCGACTGTAAATTAGGCATAACTTCTCCAGAGCAGAGCTACAGCCCCCACATCTACTTTTTAGTTCTTCAACTGTTGCCTAATATCACTGACTAGACTAGCAGGAACATTCATTTACTGCTATTAACACATGTGGTTAGCCCACATGTTACAGCATTCATTAGTCAAAAAGTAGACAGGGAAACATCAGTTGGCTTTATTTTCAATTTGGCCCTCCCCTGGCCTGTCTACATGATGGTAGTGACCTCAGAGCAAAGAGATACCCTTTCTTAACTACTCCAGCAGGAATCCCAGGATGGCTCATTAGCTCAGCCCATATACAGAGTTGCTCCAACATCTATTTTACATTTAATTTTCCTGGACAGGGATGTCACCTCAAGAGTTTTCCAGATTCCTACCTTCTTCTTTGTCTTCAGTGTCTTCAATCCAGATATATGTTCTACATAATATTCTCTAGGCGACTACAGCTAGAGACAGTCTGCTTAACTGGCCTGATGTCTTTACACTCCACAAGAAGGCACAGATGTTCTACAGTGACTACAGTAACTAGAGTAGTTGGACATCCAGTGAACTGTCCATGCTATTAGTTAATGGGTGAGATTTGGAGACTTGGAGGGAGAACCAGATAGGAAGAAAATGTAGACGTGTCCATAGATATGACTATGGGTTACTCAATCTTCACAAATTCTTACACCATCCCACCAGGCCCACACACCTGTCAGGAAGTGAAGAGTTGGGTGGCAGCAAGAGATATCCATTTGGCTTTGCTGAAGGAACAATGATAAAAAAAAAATTAGTCTTTACATTAGTGCCTACTTTTTATGGCTCAGTAGCAGGTATCTTTGTATATTCTCCTTTATGATATTACTTCACTTACTTGAAACAGAAGTTTTAATTGTGTTGAAAGCTGCTTGTTGTGATGACCTCATACTAAATAGATGGAGTAAAGTTATTGGATTAATTAATGAAATTGATTTCTCCCTCATTCATCCCAAAGTATAAAAAGGCTTGGAATAGTTAACTGCATGAATTTCTACACATTTTCTTGGCCTATTGCTTTATTCCTTCACAATTAGAAAGCAAAGAAAACCAACACTGGCCACCATGTGCACATAACTGATATTTGTGGTTGTAACTATTATAATGATGGGTCATTGGCAAGTTATGTTTTAAATGTATGAAATTCAAATGCAACAATAAGAGATACTAATGGCTAATCAGATTTAATGGCTAACAGGAGAAATGGAAACAAGTAGATGAGGGTTCTGTTTTTTTCCCCAGCAAAGCAAGCCTGGATTTCTGTGACAAAAGGCAGAAGAGACAACCTTGCCTGAGGTCTGATACCTAATAATCCTACTCAATGTCTGCTGCATGCTAAGCAGTCTGTTCACAGTAGGATGCACCCTGGGTCCCTCTGTCTGCCTGGCCTAGCTTAGTAGATATGAAATGCTTATGTGAATGTAGGTCAAAGCATATCTGTTTCCACAGACTCACAAAACATGTATGAACAATGCAGATGAGATACTGCAGCCTAGTCTGAATGTTAAGATAGTCTGTGCTTGCAATCAGCCCAGTCAGACCAAATAAGCTAAGAATAGACATTCATCAACAATTGTGACTTGGACCTCTGTTATAAGGTCACTTCATGGAGCTGTCCATAGTATTCATTTCTCTCCTCAGTACCATTTCTCATAACAGCACATGTCCCTGTCTGACATATAAGTTAATCTAGCCGGGCGGTGGTGGCGCACGCCTTTAATCCCAGCACTCGGGAGGCAGAGCCAGGCGGATCTCTGTGAGTTCGAGGCCAGCCTGGTCTCCAAAGCGAGTTCCAGGAAAGGCACAAAGCTACACAGAAAAACCCTGTCTCAAAAAAAAAAAAAAGTTAATTTATTGCCCTCCCTCAAACAAAAGCATCTGAGCACAAGCAGTTGACATGCTTGGCTCACATGAACGTCTGAAGTCAAGAATGGTGCCTCTCAGGTGCCCATGGAGGCCTGAAGAAGGCACTGAATTTCTCAGAATGAGAGTTATAGGCAGCTGTAAGCCACCTGATGTGGGTGCTGGGAACCAAACCATGGCTCACTACAACAGCAGTAAATGTTCTTAACTGCTGAGCCATTTCTCCAATTCCTCAGTTTTTTTTGAGAATAAGGATAGAGAAAAGAGATCCTTTTCTTCAAGATGGAGGCAAAAAAGAGGTTAGTCAGGAGCTATAACAGGTACCCACACCTGCCTCTCAGTCGAATTCCCAGGCCCAATATGGCCATGACACCTTTAGGTGCTTGGTTGGTCAGGCCAGTAGGTGTCCACACAACTCAGGTTAAAAAAACCAAACTGACCATTTCACACATAAAAGTTTCACAGGAAATTGTACCATTATCTCAGAAAAAGACAACCACCACTGGACAAAATACAAATCATGTCTTATATCACGGTGTTGTCTAAACTATGGTGTGTTATGGAGTCCATATATCATGGACATTTATCTGTGCAAATAAAGAGTTTCACAGTTGCAGTATGGTTAAGGCATTGTCCAAAACAAACAAGAAATGTTTGTTATCTTCCAGACAGTGAAATGTAATATACTTCTGATTATTTATAGCACTTTGAGATGTGCCTCATTATAATGCATGATTATGTGGCTCATATTAATTGCTAACTTGATAGGATTTAGAATTGCTTAAACCTTTGTCATATTAGTGCGCAAGTTTCTAGATTTGAGTTGGTTGAGTTGGACAACACATTCTAAATATGAGTGTGGTACCATGTAGTAGGACAGGCCCATAGGGTCGAGGAAATTGGTCAAACTAGTTGCCAAGGCATGCACATAATGTACTTCTTTATGAGCCAACCTGGAGTTTGCCTGAGGGCCTAGCAACAGGCACTGTCAGAGTTCCTGGTCGCTGTCAGAGTTCCGGATCATGCCCAGCCAATGAGGGATGACCATGCAATGCCACCAGACTGGGACACAGCTTGGATGCTGGGAGGAGGGTATATAAGGCCTTCCCCATTATTGAATAAACGAGCCTGCTGTTTTCCTTCAACTGACTCCTGGTGTCTGTTGCTCCTTCTTACCCCCTTCCCCAAGGGAGCTGTTGGGATCCACCAACAGTACCATCCAATGGGCTAAGAGGGTCTAGGAATAAAAAGGAGAAAACAATCTGGCCATCAGGTTTTATCTGTTTCTTGACTGTAGAAGCCATATGACCAAGTGCCTCATTGCTACTACCTCCATGCCTTCCCTACCACAAAGGACTGCCACTTCAAAATGTGGATAAAAATACTTATTTCCTTAATAAGTATATGCTTTTGTCATAGCCATGAGAAAAATAATTAATATAGAAAATTGGTACTGAGAAGTGGTACTGTTACTGTGATAAAGCTGATCACATGGTTCTTAGGCCTTGGAAACTAGTTTTCAGGGAGAATGTGGAATAGTTAGGAACTTCAGGTTAGAAAATTCTTAGATATACCATAAGCAGAGCTTAATGGGCCAGTCTGGTGGGAGTTTGGAAGAATAAAATGCTGCCAGAAATATAGATAGTGGAGGCTTAGCTCATGAGGTTTCAGAGGAGAAGGATTCTATCAGATATTGGGCTAGAGGCCATTTGTGTTATGTTCTGGCAAATAAGTGGCTGCATTCTACTCATGTTCCAAGAACTTAAGTGAGGCTGAATTAAAAAGAAATAGACTAATTTGACTGTGGAGCAAATTCCAAGATAGGATAGTACCCAGGCTATGCCATGGTTACTGCTCACTGCTCTTACCTCTTATCCAGGTGTGCAGGAAGAAAGAGCAACAGTAGAATGAATAAATAAGTAAATTGTCCCTTAGCAGGGAAAGGGCATAGTTTAAAGTTTTAGATAGACAAGGTGGGCGATGAGAAAACAGCTGTACTTGTTCAACTCTGCACTGGGAAAATAGGGCAAGAGCTCTAGACAAGACTCTAGCCATTAAAGGCTCCATCTTGTGAAAGCCAAACTCTTTTGAAAGGAAAGAGCCTCAAGTGAGAATGACTGACAATCACAGCCTAGGGAAATGTTTCCTTAGGATCAGCTTGGAAGGTACACACAGAGGTTGATGCAACTATGGTCCAAAGGGCTAGGCTCAAGCTGGCAGCATAATTTGGTAGCCTTGTCCATGTGGTGTTGGTTCTAAGGAATGGAAGACGAAAGAATAAGGGAATCATAGAGGCTTGTATTAAGATTACAGAAGGCCACTGAGACCAAGCAATGTGTGGTGTAGTTGGCTTCTATGCAAGGGGGGGGGGTGTCCTAAGGAACTACTGTATGAAGATGTGAAGCTGAAGCCCAATGGAGACCCCAGAATGCTGGAGATGCCAGGATCATGGTACAGTAGCAAGGAAAGCTGTAGGCATGGAGTAGGGCCATTCCCAAAGAAGAGCTTTATGCATTGGAGTGATGGGCTACCCAAGTCCTTTGGAGCTGAGATAATTCTAGCAAGACTCTTGGGTGCTAGACATGGACCAATACAATTTGGTGTTTTCCTTTCTTGGTATTAGTCTACCTTTGCTTTTCCCCTATTATTTCCTTCTGGAATACAAATTTGTGTCACTGTATGTTAGAAGTACATAACATTTTTTAAAATTTTATTTTATAGAATCTCACAGTTAAGATATAGACTGTGTCTCATAAGAGACTCTACATTTATACTTTTGAGCAGTTTTGGAACTATTAAAGATTATGTGGACTTTTAAAGTTGGACAGCATTTTTCATTATGAGATGGTCATGGTGGAAAGTTATGGCTTTAAAACAATGTGCAGGTATGAAGTTGACAAAGGGTAGACTGGTGATGACTAATATCAACTTTACAGAATCTAAAATTTCATAGGAAACAAACCTTTGGGCATATCTATGAGAGAATTTATAGGTTGAATTAAATGAGGTAGGAAGACCCACCCTAATTTGGGTAGCACTATTCCATGAGTTGAGGTCTTGGACTTAATAAAAAGGAGAAAGTGAGCTGAGTACCGAACTCATCTTTCTCTGCTTTCTGAATGTAGATATGATATGACCAGCTGCCTCAAGCTACTGCTGCCATGCCTCTCCCACCATGATGCACTACTGTACCCTCAAACTGTGAGGCAAAATAAATTCCTCCTTCCTCAAGTTACTTTTGTCACAGAAATGAGAAAATTAACTAATACAATGATTTACTCAATATAAGTGCCTTGAAGAACACATGCCATGCCAAGCTCTCCCTCAGCTGGCTGCCATGTCATGCACAAGAGACTGCAAGTAACCACCATTTGCATTATGGTCACTGTAATTCCTGGCCCCTTAAACAATGCCTTGGGAATCATTTGTAAGCCTCTATGGGGACCCTTCATCTTTTCCATCTGTTCTTGTCCATTTCAGTGATATGGAGCTAGATGACTGTCCCCACAAGGCACTCTTACCTTTGTAGTCGCTTGATTTGTAGCACTGACTTTCTGAGGGACTCCTCCAACTGAGAAATCTGAATATAAATATGACCCTATTATTAGACAGACTATTCCAAGAAGCAGTTCAGAGAACACACTTGTTTTGTCTACAAATGTGACATTTCAGCAAGCCTGGCTCATCAGGACCTTTGTACAGAGCTGGGTCAGGTCAGAGCTTTAGAGATACCCAGCTACGTCTCTACAAGGCAGTGGATCTGAACTAGCCAGTAGGAGCCCAGAGCATGAAGCTCTGCTAGGTACTCTTTAGAGAGTCTGATGTCGAGTCTGAGACATGTCCTCCTCTACATAGGTGATTTCAGAATGTAGCCTACAATATGTTAGAGTTTAGATCTTGCTTTTTCACAAGGCACTAGGAAATGTCAAGGGGTAGATTTAAAGTCTCCTAATTTATAGTGCTATATGTAAAACCTCTTGTTTGCTGAGAGGTTTAAGACGGTTAATACACATCAAATGAGAAACCAAGACTAGACTGGAAGAAGCCTCTAGGCTGGATTCCTGGCAGCTGTTAGGGAATGATGTAGGAGTACTGTAGATAGAACAGTGGATAACAGAATGAGGACAATGAACTGTGCACAGAACCTAAAGGCCTTGCCTGCCTGTCCCATTTGTGTACTAAGGCAGTGGACTAGGAAATGCCTTCTATACTTAGCAGGTTATTAGGACTCTATGGCTTTATACCCAGGATCCTCACTTCATTTATTATATAACCTTTGGAGTTTTTTTTTTAAAGGACTTTTATGTAAAAAACAAGAGGGATGAGAAGAGAAGCCTCTGTGCTGCTCTCATGCTTCTGAGGTCCTAGCATTGGCCAGTCTAGCTGAGGGAGTCCAGGTGGATAGAATAGGTAGCTCTGTGTAGGCTGCCCAGAGCAGAGGGGCTCCTTGGCAGGTCAGGCAAACAGACTATGGTCATAAGAAATAATCACCTCCTTAACTGGAAATGCAAAGGAAAACAAATCTCATAGTGAGACCGAGAGAGAGAGCGAGAGCGAGAGCGAGCGAGCGAGAGAGAGAGAGAGAGAGAGAGAGAGAGAGAGAGAGAGAACTTGAATTATAACAACATGACATTGCAATTACAAGATCAAACAATTCAAGGAGCAAGAGCTTGATTTCATTTACCTTTTCTCGATAGAAGGCCACCAGTCTCCTCCTGTGTTTTTCTTGAAATTCTGAAATCTGGTAAGATAACACATTTTAGCTGCTGAGGGCACAAAGTCATGGCATATCTCTTGTGGGAGTAGAAGGTTGGTAGGAACTTTAAGTGTGGGTTGCAGCATGTTCTGTTTTACATGTACTCCCCTAGTAGACTTGTATTTCCTCTCACAGGGACAGTCACAGATTCCTTGGGTTTGCTTGTGGTTAATGTCTGACCAGAGTGGACAGATAGCTTAGATATTTCAGGAGGGACAGAATGCCAGAAGGCTATAAAATACAAAGGCAGGTAAGCTTATCCAATGTGAACTCTAAACAATAAGGCTCTTTGTCTCTCCAGCAGTCTTTCTGTTTAAGATGCTCTAGTGGTGTGCTTACTCTTGTGGTAAGTAAGACAGAACACATGGTCCCATTTTGATTGTAGTGATTATCCGAGGAAGGCCTTCTGTCCAGTGAGTGACCCTAATACATGGTCTAGGGCAGTGTTAGAGAGGTGGAAAGAGTTGAAACAAGGAAGCCCAGCATGGTGAGTAGAGCTGGTAGATACCAAGGTAGCCTTGTATGGACTGTTAGAACCAGCTACAACTGAAGCCAGCACCATCCTTGTCTTCACATTCACAGGAAACCCCATGTATCCTATGTAATTGGGCTTCTGAGGAATGGCAGTGTGAACAAGTGAGCAGTGGTCTGAGGCTCACTCAAAGAAGCTTGTTGATGGTTTGAGTAAATAGTGTCAACCATTTAGCTGAGACACTAAACTGTCACTCCTTTAGTCTAATTCTGCCACCACTTAGTGCTGGGTCTACAGGTACAGGGTGATTTTAGGTAACATTGATATTTTAAGGTTCCATACACCCCTCTAGGTAATAATAGCAGACACAAGGATGGTCTTCATTCACCATACTTGGCTTCCCTTGGATCATAGTAGCAATAGCTTCTATATACCTTCCAGTATAGTCTGTTGTGGAAAGCAACAACTCCACAGAGCATGCAACTCATCCACTATGAGAGCCTGCTCCTAGAGATGGGACTATATAGGGCATGAATTTCAGGTCAGCAGTGACAATATCATCCCTATACCTGAGCTCGGGCTCTACATTTTTCATGTGGCTTAAGTCTTTGAGTCACGAAAAAGAATCACAGCTTTTGAAACAAGACAGGGACAATTGAATGACTACTGCTCATATAGGTAAGTATAGTCTCCTTTGAGGCCATCCCTGTAAGAATCCTCATTGGAGTATCTTTGAGCATCTTCCTCAACTGTGTAAGCAACTCTTGCCCCTCAAATCCCAACTGCAAGGGTCTTGTCATGAACCCCCTCTTTGCCTGCAGGCGTAACCCTGATCTTCCAGCTCTTAACACTCATAGTAGATTAGTGATAGATCTTCTTTCCCTGACTATGGAAGTCCACTGGTGTCATGTTTGAACGGGTAAGGCTGTGTCTGGGGGATTTTCTTTTCCTTCATTTTCCTCTTCATACTTGTTAAGGTGCATGACATTATCCATGCTCTAAATTTGACCTAGGGGCCAGGTAGAGCTGGGAATTGTTCTGGCAGCAGACTGATGTCTCCAGTTTCTGTTAGTAAACAAAAACCTGCCAGCTGCCTGTCTTCTGCCCTCTTCCTCAGTATATCCCACACTGGTAACAAGAGAGAAAACTTAATTTGCTAAGCTACTCTCTCAGGGACCCACATTTCTGTAGCATGTGTCAACCAATCAGAATGTAGGCTCCCAGTGGAGTGAACACTGGAGTCTGGCAAACCCTGTTGATGGGGAATGCTCCTCTTGCCAAGGCATAGTGATTTTTCTATAAGGACCCTGGTAAGAGCAGCTTTTAGGCCTATGGATGATTGTCCAGTGTCCACAGCTGCAGATTTGGCAGACACAGCTTGCCCCTAGGATAGAGCCAAATGGAAAGCAGCACTGGAATCCAGAATCTTGTCATGGTGATGGGCTAAGGCTTCTTAGAGAGACAGGCTTGCACTGTAGATGAGAGTAGTCCAGAGAGGCTCTTATGATAATGGGAGCAGGCAAGACCCCAAGCAATTGTGTCACTGAATCTTTAGTCTGCCTGGACTTTCCCAAGTCTGTAATCTCAGGTTGTCTAGGAGTTCTGGCTTGTGCTCTAGAGACTAGAGTGCTAGCAATGGTCTCACAAAGGAGATTTCATTAGTAAAACAAAGTGAAAAAACGCTGAAACCTGGGAATGGTAGCATACAACTGTACTCCAGCATCTGGGAGGATGAGGTAGGAGAATTATGAATTAAAACCAGCCTAGGCTGTATAGCAACTTCTATGCTAGTTTATAAATAATGACACCCTGTTGAGAGAGAGACAGAGACAGAGAACACAAAGGAATTATATGGATTGAGACAGCGGAAAAGGCCAACCCCAATGCTGAGGAGGCCCTATGCTAGACCATTGGACCAGGTCTGTTTCAGAGACAAGAGCAACACAGCTAAGAAAGAGAAGACAGGAGGATGGGCTGAGGTGCAGGAAAGGATGGCTTCCTCTGAAGATTAGCATACCACAGGCTGTTCAGGAAAACAAGCTAAATGACATGGAACCTTGGGCTCAACATAGGGGACACTGACACATGATGTTAGGGACAGAGGTCTAGTGAGAGTGTCACTGACTACAGGAAGTAGCATATAGCAAGTATGTCAATGGAGAGAAGGGTAGGAAGGAACTGAGAGAGAGGCAAGTGTCATAAGAACCAGGAAAAGGATCCATGGAGCTATATGACATTTTAACAGGAACAAAGCAGGGATGTGCAGCCCTGGGTGACTACCCACAAAGGATAGTCTCAAGAAGAAATCTACTGACTGAACTTAACAGAGCTCCACCTAGGTGGAAACTGGTCTTCCAACTGAGATTATTAGAAATACAGCTAGTATCTGTGGGGGAATAACATCTAAAGAAGGGTAGATCTAAATTAAGTTGAGCTCACATGTGTCTCAATGTCACCCAGAAGCACAAAAAACAACATAGATCAGGCAGATAATGTCAGCACTGAAACTTTTATGTTCAACTATTTTACAAGTGAGATGGTTTTAAAAGAAAACTCAGAGAGGAGAAGATATTTTCATACTCACCTCTGCAAGAGACTGGCCTCCAGAGCACTTACATCACAGGGTCTCTGAGGTAATGTGCTCTGGGCATCACCAAGTTAAGCCTCAAGCTCACAACTTACCTGAGAGGTCTCCTGAGAATACTTCTTACACAGACCATCTATGCCCAGAAACAATGTCTGGATATTGGAGTTAGTCTGAAGAGAAAGCAAATGACTATGTATAAACTTCTGGCCACTAGTTAAAATTTTTTCTTTCAAGATCTACAATTAACTATACATAACACAAACAGCAATTCACCCATGTGAAGGTAACCATACCTCTAAGGAGCATGTAGGGCTGTGGTAGTCCCTCTGAACCATATGCCCCTTTATGTCTATTAAAAATGTGCTTCAAAATGAAGGTAAAAGGGGTGACTTTTTTCCAGACCACCACCACCACCACCACCACCAACAACAACAACAACAAAAGCAAAACCAACCAACCAACCAACCAACCCAAAACCCAAGAGGATTTGTCACCAACAGATCAATACTAAAAGTAAAAATAAAGGAATTCCCTATGGGTAGGAAATGATCATTGACAGACCACAGAGTTTTGGGAGGCAGCAAAGAGCAAGAGAAGAGGAAGTATGGGGAAATTCAACCAATTAGCCATGTGTGGTAGTGCTGGGTTGTCAATTTAGCACAAATTAAGAGCCAATATTCCATCTGAGAAGGGAGAGGATGGTAGAAAGATCAATGGACTGAAACCACCTGAAGTCCATGCACAGTCAGGAAAATCTAACTTAGATGAATCTTTAAAAAAAGATTTTATTTTTATTTTTTTTTTTTTTTTTTTTTTTTTTTTTTTGGTTTTTCGAGACAGGGTTTCTCTGTGTAGCTTTGCGCCTTTCCTGGAACTCACTTGGTAGCCCAGGCTGGCCTCGAACTCACAGAGATCCGCCTGACTCTGCCTCCCTTATTTTTATTTTAATAGTGTGTATAACTTGTGTATCTATGTGTAGGTATGTTCATGTGAGATCAATGGAGTCAAAAATTAGCTTTCTGAAAATGCTGAAATGAGTTCATAGTACTTAATACACATTTGGCAAGGTTGCTCAAGAAAAAAAGGACTCATAATAGTCACTCAAAATTAGGGATGGGGAAGGAGCCATATGTGGAGGGAGACACATGACTTTAATCCCAGCACTTGTGAGGAAAAGGCAGGCAGACCTCTTTAAGTTTGAAGCCAGCCTGGTCTACATAGCGAGTTCCAGGATAGTCAAAACTACATAGAAAGACTCTGTTTCAAAAATCCAAAGTAAGTAAATAAGTAAAAGAAAATAACATCATTCTAGACCTTATGGACATGTTTTGAGGTAAGTAAGTACATAAAAATGTAATTGATACTGAAGGTATAAAACTCTAAGTGAATCTCCATGGCTTCAGAATTTTAACTTTACAGAAAATCATTGAGATGTATAGTTTGGGGATGGGTTTGAGTGGCTATGTTAATCTAGCCATGTAGTGTTTCTATTTGTGAGTTCATTACAATAAACTTATACATGCATATATACATACATATGTACATAAATACATATACACATACACATCCAGGCTGGTCTTAAACTTGTTATGTAGACCAGCTTGGCCTAGATCTCCAGTCTCTGCCTCCTAAGTGCTGGAATTAAAGGCATATGCTACTGCTCCCTACTCTAAGAACTTTTATGAAGTTATAAACTATGATTCATCAAACTTGAATATATAATTCAGGAAAGGAAACTTTCAACTACAGCTTGTATATGAACATGGGTGCAAGAAATTCCAAGTGAAATAATAGCAAATTGAATCTATCTGTAAAAGCTGAAGTATGTCATCACAAGTTGACTCTATTCCTGGAATCTTACATGGGTTCTTTAATTTTAAAAGTAAATGAAGGGGTTGGAGAGTTGGCTCAGTGGTTCCTAGAACCCATGTTGGGCACTTCACAACTGCCTGTAACTCTAACTCCAGGGAATTCAATATCTCTGGCCTCTGTGGGCATGGCACTCATGTGCACATACCACATAGAGACACGTAATATTTTAGAAAATAAATGTATTTTTTTTTAAAAAAGTAAATGTATTCTCCATTCCAGAAACAAAATATGGTAAAACAGAATATTATAAAGAGTTACAGAAAAGTAATAATATAGTTATATTGATTATATATCATTCATGATTTTTAAAAATATCTTTAGCAAAAAGTAAAATAAAATAAAAATACCTTTAGCAAACTAGTATACACATACTTGGTGAAATACTAAAACACTGACCATCAAGTTAAGAGAGAGACAAGGGTGCTTGCTGTAGTCAGCATTTCTACACAGCAACACACAGGAGTTCCTGCCAGTGACTCCAGACACTACTGCATATACAAATTTTCTAGAATAGGACCTAGTGAATAGCAAAGTCACTGGTGTAACACCTTTTTTTAAAAAAATTATTATTATTTTCCATACTGATCAGTTTCCCCTCCCTCCTATCCTCCCATTCCCTCCTTCCTACCTCTCCCTGCCCCCCCCAATCCATTCCTCCTCTGTTTCTGTTCAGAAAGGGGCAGGATGCCCATGGGTATCAACAAAGCACGGCATATCAAAAAGCACCTCTCCTTGTATTAAGGCTGGGCAAGACAACCCAGTATGAGGAATAGGTCTCTAGGAGCCAGCAAAAACATTAGGGACAGCCTCTGCTCCCATTGTTAGGAGTCCCACAAGAAGACCAAGCTACACAACTGTCACATATATGTAAGGGGCCTATGTCGGTCCTATGCAGGCTCCCAGGTTATTGGTTCAGACTCTTAAGTTCCTATGAACTAGGTTAGTTGTTTCTGTGGGTTTTCTTGTAATGTCCTTGACCTCTGGCTCCTGCAATCCTTCCTCCCTCTGTTCATCAGGATTCCCTGAGCTCAGTCTAATGTTTGGCTGCTGTGGGTCTTTTTTTCATCAATTACTGGATGAAGACTCTCTGATGATAATTGGGGGCAGTCACCAATCTGATAATAGGCCATGGCCAGTTGAGGCTATGTATCCCCTATTACTAGGAATCTTAGCTGGGGTCATCCCTGTAGATTTGTGGGTATTTTCCTTGCATCAGGTTTTTACCTAACCCCAAAATGCACCCCCTTTCCAGTCATCTCTTTTAGTACTCTCTCCCTCCAACCACCCCCAACCTGATCCCTCAAGTTCTTATCCCCACCTGCCCCCAGTCCACCCAGGAGATATCTTCTATTTCCTCTTCCCAGGGAAACCCATGCATCCCCCTACCTTGGGGCCGCCTTGTTACCTAGCCTTTCTGGATCTGTGGATTGTAGCATGGTTATTCTTTACTTTACAGCTAATATCTACCTATGAGTACATACCATGTTTGTCTTTCTGGATCAGGGTTACCTCACTCAGGATGACTTTTTTTTCTAGTTCCATCCATTTGCCTTTTAATTTCCTGATGTCATTGTTTTTAACAGCTAAGTAATACTTCACTGTGTAAGTATACCACATTTTCTTTATCCATTCTTTAGTTGAAGGTTTTGTTTCCAGGTTCTGACTATTAAAAATGAAGCTGCTACGAACATAGTTGAGCAAGTTTCCTTGTGTTATGATTGAGCATCCTTTGGGTATACATCCAAGAATGGTGTATCTGGGTCTTGAGGTAGATTGATTTCCCATTTAATAAGACACTGCCATATTGACTTCCAAAGTGGCTGTACAAGTTTGCATTCACACCAACAATGAAGGAGGTAACACAACATTTTTACATACTAATGAATGCTTAGGAGATGATATTTTCAAAGCTGCTGTTGTAGCTCTTTAAAGCAGCCAACACCTAAGGATGGGGCTACTACAGTTTGCAGGCCTCCAAGGAGAAGCATTTGTAATTTACTGAGAGGTGAGAGAGCACCTGAACAAAACATACCCCACATTCATGAGCTAAAGGAGCCATTACTGGATAGATGTCAATTTACCTTAATAAGTATAAAATAAAAAAGTCAATGAGGGAGGGGGAAGGAGAGGTATTTTCATAATCAGATTATTTGAAGTAGGAAGACCTACCCTAAATCTGGACCATATCTTCTAATAGCAGCCCATATAAAAGAACATAGAAGAAGGAAACTTTGCTTTTTGCCTCCTGGCAAGTTCATCTATCCTGTTGCTAAGGCATTCTTTCACCAGTATTAGAACCAGGTTTTTCAGGATTCCTGCATAGATCAGCAGCTCCTCGGGAATCCTCCAGGACAACAGCACCAGATTTGGATAACTGAGATACCCAGCCTTGTGGACTGAACAACTACCAGATTCTCAGCCTTTCCATTGTGAGACAGTCATTGTTGGACTACTCTGGACCACAGCTTTCACAGCAAATCATTCCTCCAGTGGAATACCCTGAATGCCACTGCTACTGTCCATGTCACTGCATAGGTTCTCAGGCAACTTGTAGTCCTTTCTTTCAGGTCCTGTTATGATCTGCAATTTATGAACTAGAAACATAAAGAATATTTTTGGGCCCTCATTATGGTCCAATATCTAATGGGACCTAGGTAAGACAGCGAAGAAATGCTTAATGGACCAGAAATAGAAGGACACAGGCCTCAGGGGGCTCATTTTCTGCAGAAGATCTTTGCTAGACCCTCTTTGCCTTCTGAAGCACATTTGCCTCTTTATCTCCAGCCATGGTTCTGTCTGTTTCAGGGCTTTCCAAGGTTAAGGAGCACAAGGAGTTTCCCTTACCCAGACTGGTCTTTATTATTACAAACATGACTATATTACTTGGAGACTAAAAGCCAGAGATTTTCCAGTCTCATTAAGCATCTATCTCCTTAAAGTTACCTATTATTTTCTACCTCTAATTGAAAGCCAGTTACACTTCACTTGGACTCATTCTTCCTTGTGGTCCCAACTTAGGGAGGCAAATTCCAAATAATACATCCTTCTGCTTTGCTCTGAGGTCACAAGAGGCTTTCCTTCCAGAGGCCCAGGTGCCCCCTGCATCTTGCAGGTATCTGATTTACTGCATTGGCATTGTATTTCATGTGTGAACTAGTAGTGGCTCATTTTGATGACAAACAAATCAATACACAAATATGTCTCCTGTAAAAGTATCTATCCAGGTGCACCTTTTGAATAGTCTGGGACATTTCTGAGAAAATCTGCTTATATAACAAATTTGAAGGAATAGATCAAACTAGAAACCACCAGAGGGCACTTCCCTAAAACTTACTTCCTAGACTTAAGCACAGGTACAGATGATACACACTGAGCACATTACAGAAGCCTTTCTACTGCGGGTCATATATTTGTTGAACACAGATACACATGTTCAACCAGGGGTAGAATTGCTGGGTTTCTGGAGTATGCTCAAAAAGAAATTCTGGTGGTTGAGCGAAAAGTAGTCTGGGGTGAGAGAAATTCAGAAGGTGTGCAGCGGGGCATGTTATATAGAACAATAGAAATGACAGTTACAGAGACCTAACTTGAATGCTGTGGGGGACAGACTATGGCCATCTGAGAAAATATTCCGGAAAGAGCAGAAAGACCAGGCATGAGATGGAGTCATGCTGCTGCAGAAGTAGCACCATGTTGGAATTGCTGACCTGGAGACCAGGAGGCCCCCAGAGGCCAGGCCACAAGAGCCCTTTGACTTTGTCCTAAGCAGTGAGACTCATAAAAGTGGGATATGCCCTACATACAAGTAGATTCACTGGCTACAGAATGAAAAGCAGGAAGGATTGGCACCTGTGGTAGGGTATAGCCATAGGGAAGGAAGACATGGGTTCCCAAGAGACTGCTGAAGGAGAAGCCTACCATGTGTTGATGGCATAGGATATGATGTGGCAACAAGAGCAGAAGGAGTGGCCTCAGTGTTTTTAGCAGCTTCACTGCTTGCTAAAGGTTCATTTGCTTGCTCTTTCATACACAGAAAAAAGATATGCTTTTTACAAGCAGCCACAGAACAGCCATAACTACCATATATTAAAACATAATAAAAGGGACTGGAGAGATGGCTCAGTGGTTTAGAACACTGGCTGATTTTCCAGAGGACCCAGGTTAGATTCCTGGTACCTCCATGGTGGCTCATAACTCTAACTCCAGTTTCAAGAGATTTGATACCATCTTCTGGCTTCTGTGGGTACCAGGTACATATGTGGTTCACAGACATAAATGCAAGCCAAACAACCATAAACAAAACAAAACAAAACAAAAAAAAAAAAACCCTTAAAGCCAAAATATCTGGTCACATGCTATAAAATAAAATTTCAGCACAAAGGTGATAGTGGAGCTAAAGTCTAACCATTTAGAAATTAAAGATGTTCCTATCTTTCTTCTCCTCTCTCCTGCCTCCATTCCTTCCTTTCTTTCACTGTAGCCCAAGCTGATTGTGAACTCACAGCAATCTTTCTGCCTCAGCTCTCCAAGTGTTAAGATGTTTGGCATATGTCACCATGCTCAGTTCTGGAGGAAGAGGCAGGCAGATCTCTGTGAGCTCAAGGCTAGCATGGTCTACACAGAGAGATCCTGTATCAAAATAAAATAAAATAAAAAAGAAAAGAAAAGAAAGGAAAATGAAAGAAGGAAGAAGAGCAAATTATAGACTGTGGAGATATCTCAGTGGTTAAAGGATGAGGATCAGAGTATAGATCCTCAGTATCCACGAAATGCCAGGTGAGCATGATAATCCACCTGTAATTCTAGTACTTAGAAGGCAAAGACAGAGGATCCACAGAGCAAGCTGGTTAGCCAGACTAGCCATATTGATGAGCTCTGAGTTCAACTCAGAGACCTGCTTCAATGAACAAGGTGTTAAGTGATTGATAAAGACTCCTAGTGTCAACCTTGGGCCTCCATATGCATGCATGCACATACACACGCACTACCCACATGCACATCAAACACGCACATTCATAAAAAAGAATACATTATAGCTTATTCAAGAATCAGGAAGATTTGATACAACTGACATCCAGGCATGTCTACTTTAGTTCTATTTATAAAATACATCAGATTAACTTATTCTTTGGTATAAACTTTCACATGATTCCAGGAAAGCAGTCCTCAAGACAATACAGACATATAGTGCATGGAAGGAAATGGGCAGCTTAAATACATTTATTAATGTCCTAGTTAGGATTACTATTGCTGTGATGAAACACCATGACCAAAAAAGCAATTTAGGGAAAAAAGGGTTTATTTTGCATATACTTCCAGATTACAGTCCATCATTGAGGGAATTCAGGGCAGGAACTCAAACAGGTAGGAACTTGTAGGCAGGAGCTGATGCAGAGGCCATGGAGGGGTGCTACTTATTGGCTTGCTCATTGTGGCCTGCTTTCTTTCTTTTTTATTTATTTATTTTTTTGGTTTTTCGAGACAGGGTTTCTCTGGCAGTTTTGGTGCCTGTCCTGGATCTCACTCTGTAGACCAAGCTGGCCTTGAACTCACAGAGATCCGCCTAGCTCTGCCTCCTGAGTGCTGGGATGAAAGGCGTATGCCACCACTGCTTGGCTCAGCCTGCTTTCTTATACAACTCAGGACCATTAGCCCAGGGGCTATGCACTTTCTATCAATTGCTAATTAAGAAAATGTCCTACAGGTTTGCTCACAGCCTGATCCTATGGAGGCATTTTCTCAATGGGGTTCCCTCTTCTCAGATGATGCTAACTTGAGTCAAATTGACATAAAACTAGCCAGCACAATTAAGAATGAAGAAGGGGCTGGGCATTGGTGGTGCACCTCTTTAATCCCAGCACTCTGGAGGCAAAGACAGGCAGATCTCTGTGAGTTTGAGGCTAGCCTGGTCTACTGATCTGGTTCCAGGG